AAATCTGTTTTCCTTCTTGTTCATCATCACATTCATCTTCCATAAACAGTTTTACCCTCCAGTATCCATAGTTTTCGGCTCTGAGAAGGAAACTGGATGGGATCCGGGCTGCAGTGGGGTCCTGTGAGGGTGCTGACAATCCTGGAGACACCGTTCGGTGCTGAGACGGCCGCTCCAATTCAAGGCTTCAGTCCCACTCTTTTGAACAAGGACAGTGCGCTTCCCTATGGCCTCCATTCTCTCACCCTCCTCATGCCCTCAGACAGCTGGTTTTTAAATTCGGGGTTACAGTGCATCGTTTCTCCAGGAAATCAAGCCAGGAAGGGGTACTGGGCCAGGGAGCAGCTCAGCTCAGCTCTGCATAGCGTCTCTGTCCAAATCACACAGCTGCTTCTACAGTCACCTCCACACCCCTGGATCAACAGCCATGGCTGCTTGGTTTCCTGATACTAGTGTTTTAACCATTTCTCCCTCTGGAGCTTAGGCGTACTGCTTCCTCCTGACCACCTGGGCCAGCTCCAGCTGCAAGGCTGTCTTCTGACCTCCTCTGGGGAGCTCCTCTTTCCTCAGGTGCCCTCAGGTGAGTGGGGCTGCCTCCACCTCTGCTCTGTTCTCCAAAATGCTCTCTGGGGAGACCTATTGTTAACTGTTTCAGGTGAATGGAAGTCAACATTTAAACCAGCAATCTGTTTTGGATTCCTGATTGATTGTTTTGTTTTCATTTTTTCTCTCAAAGCCCACTAAAGTATAGCCAGAAATACCTGGCATTGGATGTAACTCACTCCTGTCAGCCTATTCACTCACAGGACCCTGAGATGCAAACTAATGCTCTCCATGGTCACCGGGACCCAAGTGACTTGGTTGCTCTGTCTTGTTCTGTTCTACTGTCGTCCACTCTCACACATCCCTCTGCTCTTTTTTCTCAGACTTGCGAGCACTGTTTTATCTAGAGCGATGTGCATGCTGCTTTACCTGGAATGTCCTCTCGCCTCACATATGCAGGAGCTCTTTAGCTTCAGTTTTCTTCCCAGCAATTATCTCATCCCAGACTATTACCCAATTATTTACTCATGCATTTTCTTCCCTGCTTGTTTGTGAAGAGACTTTGCTCTGTTCTCTGCTGTGATCTCCATGCCTACTTTGTTCCTGCCACACAGTGAGTGTGCAGCCCCACTCCTGGTAGTAAAAGCATCCAACATTGATCTGGTGTTCACCTTAAGGGAGGTAGTTTAATCATGTTCCACGAACCATCTCAGTCTGACAATAGCCCTGTGAGGTGGATATTATGAAGATCTCAGGTCTAAAAACTTAGGAAGCAGTGAGTTCAAAATCCAGTGCCAGGCCTCTTGTACCATGCATGGCCTGAATTTACCACCCAAGGGCCCTGAAAATCATGTTTATGGAGTTTGCTATCAAAACTACCCACAGGATCTTTCCTGAGGGATACTCTGAGAGATTCTCCAAGATGATGTTTAAAAGCTGCTGAAGTTCAGAGCCAGACTGTGCCTTTCAAATTGTATGGTCCTGGGGAAGCCATTTACCTTGGGGTAAGACTAACTGTGGCACAGACTCTCATGTTTTTCATTTATAAAGTAGACTGAAATTGTGTAATTTGGAATCTCCTGGAAGAAAGCAGAAAATTGAAGATAGTATGTCACAATGCAGAGAAACCTTCACAGAAGCCAGGTGGTGACATTCCCAGGAGGCTGAGGTTGGAGGGTTGCAAGTTTGAGACTGAGATCAGCCAGGGCAATTTAGTGAGTTCTTGTGCCAAAATAAAATTACATTGAAATTAAAGGGGGCTGGGAATGCAGCTCAGAGTTGGAGCCCTATGTAGAGCATGCTAAGACAGGCTATTAGTGATTCCATGTTGCACCAAGTGTGACCTTTCAGGCTCTCACCAGTGCATCCTATGAAGCAGAAGGTGGCCCAAGTTTGGGTGCAGGTGTTGAAGTCAAATGACTTGGTGACACACCTATATACTTGGCTGACTGCCAAGTGCAGGACACATCAAATTCATTTTAAAAAATGATTCACTGCTATAAGCACAATCACAAGGCACAAACTGGTAAATAACCATGGTAATAAGCCTGGACCCATGACTTAACCACACCCTCAAGCTGCTGGGACACCCCAGATGAATGATGTCATAGCTCCCCTACCTCCAATTCACAGAAAGGGGGCACCTCTCCCCAGGACACAGTGGGACCACACCCAGCTGTCCTCCATCTCAGGGGACGGGAGGGAGATGAGCCCTGGCTCTCTTTCTGGCCTCATAGCTCAGCTCCAGCTGCCCTGGGGTGGCTGACTGCAGGTGCTGCTCTTGAGAGATGAGGCTTTGAACCTGCCCACACTGTCCACCACCTCAACGAGCCCAGCACCTGTACACTGTGAACAAGCTTCATCTGGTCTGTGATCCCCTTGACCTCCAGGGGTAATGTGCACCCCTTAGCCTGTCTTTGAACTCTGCAGCTGCTGCCAGGCCTGCTCCAGCTGTCCTAAGATGCCCACCTGGCTCTGTGGAGTGTGTGACTTGTGCATCATGGGACTGTGCTGAAGGACCAAGGTCACCTGGCTCAGTGGCATGGAGTGTGGTCTTGATTGCTGTCCAGATAAGGATGACAGAATGGATGCCAGTGGCAAATGTGTTGTTACTCAATCAATGTGGCCACTGTGGCAACAGTGACATGCAGGGTGACACAGGGTGGCGCAGGCAGCTGCAGGAGAACCAGCTTCACCCAGCACCTCGAGGATCAGCAGGTAGGTGAAGAAGTCAACTGGCAGAGGAGCCAAGCACTTGCTCCGACCTGGGGGGATGTTCAGGAACCAAAATTAAGGCCCAGTGTATGGCATGGTGACCACAACTGGGCTTCCTGCTGGCCAGGACCCAAGGATAGGAAACAGGAACAAGGGAAAGACTTTGGGTTATATCACTTCAATTGAAAAAGGTCAAACAGGAATTTGAATTGAAAATTGAGATTAGTTTTTGAATAATGAATAGAGTTGCTCTGTGACACACAAAAATCTCATACGGAATCACCAGTGCTGCACAGAGTTTCGGGAAGGGTCTCTATTTTCTTGTTTGCTCCCCATGGGGCATTTTTCCTACACATGAGACGAACTGTCAATATCAAACCACAGCTCACAGCACCTTCCAGTTCCTGTCCACCCCAAAGAAGGAGTGTTGTAGGCCTATTCAGGGCATAGCAAAGAGGTGGAGGTAATTCTGATGTACTTCCAAATCACTAATAGTGAATTTGAATCTATAACTTGTTTCTCCTACATAAACTTGGAGCAATGCCATTAAGAAAAGATGTAAGGAAGAAGGAAATTCTTTTAATCTCTGAAGCCAAAGACTGTATCTATATTGAAAACTATCCAGAGAAACAATAGGGAAGAGTTTTATTTTCATAATAATTCTATCATATACACATTTGGGCCTTGCAGAAATAATTGCAGTTTTGTTCTCGTAAAATCTTTGGAAGACATTTTTTTGTATGAATAACTCAAGAGAGGAAAAACCACTTAATGACTAGAAATATACCATGTTCTTTCCTGGGGGCTGTGAGGTAACCTTCCATCGAATAAACAGATTTAATGTGTTTGTTATAATACCATTCTTTAATAGCACATTATGTAAGTAACACTCCAGCACAGCAACCTAATAGCCCTGAGAAATACACAATTCAAACTACGTGGAGAGTAGGGTTTTATGAGGTGAACGGACAAATGCATTGGAGTCACTGGAATGAAGAAGGCGTTGCTTTTTAAACTGTTGGAGCTGACTGTTTTAACTCCCCATACCTGTGCACCATGGCAACTGCATTGCCATGAAACCATAAAAATGACTGATATGTATCAGAGGTCCATGGAGCAAACAGTTTACTGACAAGGAAGTTCACAGGGCCAGCAATATTTTATGATTTGTTTTGATTTTGCAGCGTGGGTTGAGTGTGCAAAAATTAGTTTAAAAGAGGATAGGATGAACTCTTTAAATATTACCTGTTTTCTATGTGATCTACGGCTATTAATCTCCTATGGCTTCATTAATGATTTCTAACGATCTTCTACAGGTTTGTTGGCATGCTGAGATTGAAATAAAAAACTTAATGCTTGGCTAAATAAGCAGCTTTGTTTAGTTAGTCTGTGCAGACCTTGCTTTTTAACTGGCTTTATCAGACTGCAGAATAAAGGACTCTGGACTTCAACAGCAGAAGAGAGGGAGAAAACCACCATCTTTTTCTTTAAAAAGAAAAGGGGAATAAAACTTCAGAAATACCGAAATTATAAAACCGCATTAACATGTCCTTTAAAAGTAAAGTTCCATAAATGCGAGGGAAATCCCACGCGTTCTATCCTCAGATGTGTCTGTAGGATTACGCATTCACTCATGGCTTTCCCCCGTCATTTTAGAAGTTTTCTCACTCAAGTCATTGGCGATGAACTTGAAGCTTCCTGCCTGTTCTAGCGGGATGTCAGCTCCCCAAAGGCGAAGTACTGTGATGGTTTTTAAACACTCACTGTGGCACATGTTCTGTCCTAATGCTTGATGGGGAAGAGTTCCTAGTGAGAACGAAGTAAGAGAGGAATTTAAACCATCGTCTGGATTCAAACCCAGGTAGATGGTTCCAAAGTCAATGCAGTCCTAAACTATAATGTTAGAAAATATGGCAAAAACGTTTTAAAGAACTGTCTGGAGACATGGGTAAATATACAATACTGGGCGGCGGGGGGGGGGGGGGACTGCTGCACACCTACAAACATCTTGGAAACACACAGAGAACGGTGACACGTGGGGGTCTCTAAGGTATGGATTTGAATGAAGCCTACTGGCACATAAGCATTTTACCTGTGTATCCCGGAATTGCTAGACTCTGGAATACCTAGATGCATTAATTCCACAAAAACAGGTAGGTAAAAAAAAATCTTTAAAATTTAGACTTCAGTAGGGTCTGCCATCAATTTAATTCATCATTATAAAAGAAAAGCTAAAGACATGCTTGGGGGAAGTCAGAATGTTTTATTTTGCCAGACAAATGATTCCTTCAATATCCAATTAAATGTCAGTGTGAAAACCACATTCAGTGTTTCCAGCACAGGACAAACATAGACTGAAGTGACAGCTTCATTATGCCAGAATCTCTCCACAAACCTACACTCTGGGAGGGGGAAAGTGCATTTCTAGGAAATTCTATATACAATACAAATGGAAAACATGTTAAGCCATTCCATTGCCAAATTACATATAACAAAACCAGTCAACCACCAATACTCAGTATACGTTGACAGAATTTTTGGAAAGTAAACTGTCTTTATATTTGGCAGAGTCGTGTTCGAGAAGAATTTGTGTAGTTTTAAAAGAAAAGGAAGACAAGTATGTACAATTCAACATCGTTCAAAATAGAAGGCATTAAATAGCACAAATGATATAAAACTAAACACCATCTGCCGTCTCCCCGTTCAGTTCGGGCCTCTGTGAAGGAGGGAGCTGTGGTTCTAACACGATTGACTTTTTCACTCGGTACAGTGAACAGTGTGACCACGAACACAAGGGGCAATTTGGGCTCCACAGTGACCTACGGTGTTACATGTACATGTAGAGGAGGGGACACATGTAACCTCTTCAGTGGGAAAGCCATTTATCTAATAAACTGCTGTAGAGATTATTTAAATCACATACATCTGAGACAATAGTTTCTAACGAATGCATATCATTCACGGTATGCATCTGAATAATTCCTTTTGCAATACTGATGCCTCCTCTTAGAATACGGAAATTTATAACCGCCTACATAATAAATAAATTACAATTGTAGATTCTAACCAATGACCACATTCCTTTGGCTCAATATCTTAGTTTTTTTAGGCTTACATTATTTGAAAGTGGGATCAAATGCAGAACCTTTTCGTGCTAAGCATGTGTTCTACGGCGGACCTACATTCTCAGCTGTGATTTTAGTTACCTGGGCTTTTATACTGCAATGTTCAAAAAGGTGAGCTATCTGTCTTGGTTATTTCTTCATGAGTTACTAACTAGAAATAAATATTTGTACTAGAGTTTTGAACAGGTAAGGGCTACAATTTGTGTTTTGACCTAGAAACAAAAATGTCTTAAAAATAAGTAATAATACAAAAGTTGTGTTTTTCAAAGAAATACTAAAATATGAGAAAATTTTCTCACATGTCTCTTACTTAAGTTTTAATTTGGAGAAAATAATTTTATTATTAAATTATTTTAATAGAACTATCCCCAAATGCAATTAGAAGATACTTATCTATCACAAACCTTGCCACATTTACATTCATAGATCATTGAACACAGATAGGTACTATCATCCTTTTCAAAGACTATTTGGGAGGAAAAAACAATATAATAAGAACAAACATAGACATCTGAGAGCTTCATAAAGAATGTCTATTTTTGTTCACACACATATATATATTTTCCTTTCTTTATAAATAAGTATAAAACAATAAAATGTTGTCTAAAAGTCACTATGATATGTGAAACTGTTTATTTCAACTGAGGCTTAATTGCCAGACTTAGTTATGAGAGGTACGAACACTATCCATATTTGCTATAAATTCTCCTGATAATATTGTTTTTTCCTTTGATATTGACGGTGTCACCCCTCATGGAGAAGTCTGATGCTGTAAAAATGTCTTCTTCTTCTGTTTTTTAAGTTGCCACACAGACAAGAAAATTAGAATCAAAACAGTAATCAATTAAATATTTTAAGTTTACATTTAAGTCTATAATAACTTAAATAACTTCCAATAAAAGGAAAGTGCTTTTGTTTGGAAGATGATAATATAACTATATAAAACCTAAAAGTGTCACCCATATAACTGCCTTCAAAGATCCTTATGGTATAGATTATCCATCTTATCTTCCTGGACTGAGAAGATCAGTAACAGCTATCAGCAACCGACAGTTTTAACAAACTCAAAAGAATATTAAATTTCACTGGAAGCATATAAATTTATCATTTCCTCTTTATCAATCATTCATGTTTTTATGCAATATCTAGATGCTTTCTTGTCATTGAGCTATTATTCTACCTCTTTTCATGGCTGTTCTGTTACATGCTTTTATATGACTTTTACTATGTGAAAGTTATGAATGGGAATCGGTTTCATTCATAAAATCGCTGACAATTAGAAACCCAAACCCTTTGAGCAGGGAAGACATATCACAGGGTTATGGCCCTGTTCAGTTCAGGACGCAACAGTTCCTCCTCTGCAGCCACCAAGTTGGTTTTGAAGAGAAGATGACTAAAAGTATAAATAAAATCTGGGTTAAGTTAAATATTCATATGCACCATGAGGACAGGACGTGCCTGGTGCTGGTCGATACTGTACAGGAAAATGCATGCTCGTTTCAGTCCACCTAAAGGTCACTGAGGAGAAAGCCACCATCGTTTGTCAGGGATTTCTCACGGGAAAAGCACAGGTATTTTGCCCAGCACTTGCTCATCAAAGATGGAGCATTTGTTACCGGAAGTGGAAGCCCCACGGAAGGCAGTATTAGGACTCTGGAAAATGATTCCTCCGGTTCCTGCTCTTCCGGCCATTGATGAGCGCCTTTAACTTGCCGTAGTCCCCTCTCAGCTTCTGTGCGTCCTCGCCCAGCTGCTGCTGCTGCTGCTGCTGTTGCTGCTGCCGAGTGTCTTTGCAGTACTGATTGATCATCTGCATCTCTGAGTGGCTGAACGCACCCATGATGTCCTTGGGGTGGAAGGGCAGAGCCCTCACGGAGCTGGCCCAGGTCCACGGGGACCATTTGTCCGTCACCACAGCCACCATTTCTGAATCCAGCACTTTGAAGTTGATCTTGGCGATGGTCTGCTTGAAGCTGTTCTCCGTGGCGATGCAGTGGTACAGGCCTTGGTCGGAATCCTGGACGGAGCGGATCAGGAGGCCTTGCGGAGTGGCGATGACCCTGTCATTCAGCTTTACCTGTGAAGGAAGCACAGCGGAGTCCCCATGCTGAGACAGAAGTGGCTAGAAGAGTCGGCCCACAGACTAACTACAGCTGGCCTTTCACCAATCTGGCCTGGGCTTGAGGACGAACTGGCTTCTTCCTTGATGGTCAGGAACTTTTGGTGAGTTGCATAGCCTTTCTTGGAATGGTAGATGTTTGCACAGGACAATGGGACCCTGCACGCACCTGTGTGACCCAGTGAATAGCAAGGATTCCCGGTATCACAGCTCCAACTGACCTGCACACTCCTTTCCCTGGCCGGCACATGCCTGGGCAGGTCAGCATTGCAGTGTTAAGTAGGTTAAGGGGCAGCTGTCTTGTTTAATTGTTAAACCACCACCAAGGCTTGTGCTATTTTGTGAAATAGTTTGGCAAGTTAAAAATGTTAAAATAGTGCTACGCTTTGGGTCTACCATGCCTCCGTCCCCACTCTCCTGTGTGAAAAGGCACCTGGGCTGTGAGGGCGGCATGCACCCCTATTGCCCCTGGGGGCGTCCCACACCCCACAGGCTGCTGGGGCCAGTGCCTGGCAGAGTGGGTCCCGCAGAGGAGACCCAGACAGGGGGGTCCCCGTCCCTGGTCCCTGGCTCTGCCCTTCTCTGCTTCCTGCTGTGTGGGTGGGATGAGCACTGCCCTCTGCCAGCGCCCTCTACCATGGCCATTCCTGCCCTGGAGCTGGGGCCATGGGCCAAAACCGGGAGCCAAGATAATCCTGCCCTCCTTCAAGTGCCAGCTTTGGGTATTTTGTTCACAGCAATGGCCAAATCATTAAGACAAATAGATTGTTTTAACAGCTGTGATAAAGGAAATATGGAAGTGTATTGAATAGGTTTTATTTTTTTGCTGATGATACTCTACATATTCATCATCACTGATCCTAGAAACATTATAATCACAATATAAAAAGTTTGGAGAAAGTTGTGTTATTTATACCTACACATTCACTCTGTCACGCATGGTATCTGTGGCCCAGGAAAGCCAAAAGGTGGACGGATGCCCACGTACTGGTCTAAGAACTCATTTGAATCACTGTCACATGTCGTGGGTTCCATTCCAGGTTACTTTGCTGGGAAATTACTATCATTACCCACATTTTTTCTAAAAGGTCTTGTTTGATAACAAATCTTCCAGAAAAATCACAGGTAACTTTTCAAAAATTTAATTGTGCTAGGTGTCAGATTTCTAGGGCTCGAAGGGGGCTCTGACCCCTGGAGGTCCCGCATTCCTCCGGAGAGTTAAATCTCCTGACTTGGCATGGTCGGCAACCTCCCCTTTAGTATCCCAGTAAAGATCCTGGGATCCCAGCATACATTTCCCTAAAGATCCAAGAGTATGCCATGATTGCAGGTCTAAGAGGTGGAAAGTATTTTCTCTTATCAAACCAATATTTCAGTTACTTTGGTGTAGTTTCTGTGCCCTAGATAAATGCATTTTACATACCCTTCATTAGCTGAATATGAACAAATAAAACTGTCTCCTGCAGAAGAGAATGCAGCAATGGAGGGGTCCTATTCTGCCCATACCTCTTTCAACTTAATGTTTCACTAGTAGCAGTGCATTTTAGACTTTCCCAAGGCTTTCCATGTATGCACACATTTTTTTCTTCATTTATCAGGATAGTATGACATCAATATTGTGGAATTCACCATTCACTACATTTCACTCTGACATTTTACCATGTCTTTTTAGAACTTCTTTCCAATCAGCAAAACCTTGGAACCTGTCTTTTTATCTGCAAACCTAAGGTGTTCTTTCCATGTCACTAAGTAAAGGCCACGGTTCCACACAGGACTCTGTACATTACCGGAGGGAAACCTGAGAATTACGAGTAATAAAGCAATAGAAATAGATTATCGTGGGGCAGAAAAAACGCTCTGACATAAAGGTCACAGTTCAGTGTGATTTCTTGCTGAGGGAAACTGAACGTGTTTTCGAGCCCCTTTTATCTTGTAACCGCACAAAGGTGCCGTTGTGTGGGGACCTGACCTCTGGGTTTGCACACATCTTGTTTCTCTTACAATCGCTTCCTCACATCACACTGCTGTCTTGGTGTCCAGGCTCCTGTTGCAGCCACCAGGCTTCAGAGGTGGGTAGACAGGGATTTCTAGTTAACCCACCAACACTGGGGGCAGAGCGTTTTGAAGAAGTGGACTCGCCATTCTGGAGTCATAAAAGAAGGTCTGTTTGCCTTGGCATTTTCGATGGCTTGTGATTTCAGGTCGTTCCCACAGCCCTGTGGACTGCAGCATGCTGACTGCTCACCTCTTTCCTCCGGTCTTTGTCCTTCTGTAACAGCCACTTGATGGAGGCCTGCGGAGACTTGGGGGAACACTCCAGAAAGGTGGTGTTGTTCTTTACTCCATACTGAACAATCTCAGCTGCATTTCTGTACCCTGAAACGTAAAAATAAAAGGGGGAGGAGAGAGAGAGCACAATAATGTAATTTAGAGCGTGCTCTTTCTATGAGGTTGTTTCTCTTTATAGAATTATGACCCAATATAGGAATCAGCAGAAAGTAATCATTTAACCGGCAAACTATTCTGCAGGATTTACCTGTTATGTTTAACATAAAAAATAAAAGTGGGTCACGCTATGTGGAAAACACACTTAACAGAAGACGGATTGCTCACTAAGGGGAGGATTTAACAGCGTTGCGGTAACTAGATTTTCTCAGTTGAGCAAACTCAGGCTGTGAGCTTTAAGAAGCTCAGTGTGAAGAGCTGGCAGGGGCCGCACAGGTTTATCCCACCTCAAGCCCACACTCAGAGGCACCGGGGAAGGACAGGGAGTACAGGGTGGCCACATTGCACACAGAGGCTGAAAAGAAAGTCTTTGGAGTCAGAGGAAAACAGCGGGAAATCCTGATGGCTGTGTAACCCTGAACAACTCACCCATCTCTCTAGCCCTGCATTTTCTTCTCTTCTAACACATGGATTAAAGAGTTTTGCACTTTTTAATATAAGTAATAAAACAGTTGGAGATTTGATGTAATAATGTGGAGGTTTAAACATGGAGTGGATCCTCATTCACAAATCAGGGGTAATGATAGCCTCTAGGTTATTATGGATTTTAGAGCATTAAGTGAGACAATCCCAGAAAAAGCACTTAATTCAGGGTTTGACCTAAAGTCTACATCAATACTCATTAAGCATTATTTACCTGATAATACTCTTACTTAACACCATGACAAATGTTAGTATCAATAGGATCCAATGCACATTTTATAAAACTTTTGTTACAGGCAGCTGAGCTAGTTAGGAGTATTAAAGGCAGTCAGACAGGGCTGGGCCCTCGAAGTAGCTGGCACAGAGGACCGGATGTCTGATGACCCTGGAGGAGACACACACCGCTTGCTAGGCCAGATCTTGGGACAGAAGTCAAAACAAATGCAACCACAGCCTTAAGTATAATCCTGAGGCATTAAATCTAGATAACCTTGAGAAGCCAAAACTCACCATCCCAATCCCAGAGGAGTCTCTGATCTCTAAGAATGCCCACTTTCTGTGTGATTCCATTCCCCATTCATTCCCAATTTAATCAATTTTACTTGAGCTATTAATCTTATTGGCTAAACATAGCAAATTTCCAGTTTTTCCCAGTGGAGACTCATCTCACCTCATGGTTTTACTCTATAAAAATCCAGAGAAAACACAGAACGTTTGGAACCTATTCTGGACCTCTTCTTTCTTTCTCTCAGACAGAAGCTTTTTTTTTTTTTTTTTTTTCTGTCAATATATATTTCTGCTCTTCAACTCTATTATTCCTCAAATTCATTCTTCATTTTTAGAGAACATGAACTCATTCTGGACATACAGTAGATCATGAGTTTCATTCTTCTATATTACTTTCAATAATACAGAAATAGTAGACGGGATGTGAAGCCTTTGTGCAGTATACAGAATAATGAAGAAAAACTCGTCTTAATTTACTTGTTATAATTAGGGGGTTAGTAATGAGAGTGCCATTCTTTACTACAGCAATGCCTAGGCATGAATGGGTCAGAAGTGGGAGTCTGAGTTGATGTGGGCACCCCCTCTGCAGCACGCAGGTGAGTAGGTGGGAGGGCTTCAGGAAGGGGCAGGGATCAGGGAGAAAAATGTAACAGCCTGGCTTCTCTCTGCCAGGACCCGAAGGAAGGGATCAGTGCAGCTGTGAGCCAGGTGGCCGACCGTCAACAGTAGTAGGGCATCGTTCACCCCGAGATCACTCCCTGCAACCAAGGGGGGGAGCGCTGTGGGGTCTGGTGCTGGAGGTGGGCAAACCAAATGCAGCACCTGCATTCACCAGATGCTACCCAGTGTCAGACAGGAAGGGAATTCCGGTACGAAGAAGGAAATTCTGGATGCATCGAGAAGACATCAAACTAAATGGTAACAGCTGGTCACCAAAGGCCAAACCCACTGGTGTAAGGTCTCTAGGGCAGTCAAATTCATGACAAACACAAAGGACAGAAGGGAAGGGGGAGGGTTAGGCAGTGTTAATGTGGGTGGGGAATTTCAGTTTAAGAAGATTAAAAACATTAGGTGGTGCCTGGGATGGGTATCACGTGTGTCCCTGATTCTGCAGAAATTCACATGTTGAAATAGTTGAAATAGTAAATTTTATATTATGGGCATTCAGTGAGTACTGTTCTATATATTTCCCAGAGGAAATTTTTAAAAGTAATCTTTTTGAGAAGGAAAACAGTAGTTAAGAAAATTATTAAGTCTAGCCTCTGTGAAAGACCTACCAGCTAACATGCAAATGCCAGCTTCAACATCCACGGGCTGTCCCAGACATGGGCTTTTCATAATTCTTGGTACTCGCATGAATAACATTGAACTTTTAATCATCGTGAATTAATACCAAAATTTTTATAGGGAGACTTTCTTCAAAATGAAATGCTTGAATGCCCTACGACCCTTTCCTCATTGAAATGTGATGGGAAGAGCTGCATTAGGTATCCAGCTGGCCAAGGACCCTTATTAAGCACCCTGAATTCACAATGGCTAACTTGCCTCCTTCCCTAAGGGATGAATGGAGAGTTGGGATTCTGGTGTCACCCTGCTGAGACTTCCCCTTAGCTCCTGGAATGGGCCATCCTCTCCCACCCACTAAGACTACACTAAGATTACTAAAACGAGAAAGAACACTCCAGAGCAAAAGTCCTTCTCAGCATAAGATCATCTCTGCCCTCTTGAGTCATCCAGGATTATTGGCTGCCTACAGTGTCACTGACCTCTGAGTCTTCTTTGGATTTGGAATCTCCCTTGAGCGCCTCCTGTGACTGCACACACCCATTGCACTGTACACACCCACAAATGGCGGCTGGTCTGGAGGATCTGGGTCTCCGCCCTTCCTGGGCACTGACCTTCCGGCTCCCCACCATGCATTGCTAAGTTTGTCTTGCAGGTCCCTGCACCCCACTGCATACCTTTTAGGTTAAAGCCTCTGCACTGCGTCAGTGGGTTCCCATGTCGCACGTCTTGCCTTCGGCTTCGCCTGTAAGTGCAGAAATAGGTAAAAGAGACTTAGAATTATCACCACCAGCCACACTCTGCTTAAAATGTTTCACTTTTAAATTTGCAGATGTTTGATTGCCTGAGTCTGGCTTTTTTTCAAGTCTGTGTGACAGAGGTGAGTACTCCTCACTCTGACTCAGTTCTTCTGTGGCCGGGTGGGAGGGCTCCCTCCTTTTCTGTCTGAAGCTCAGTCTTTCCCATCTACCACTCATGGTGCAAGGGCCAGGCACCTTCTAGTACACGCATGTCCTGGGCAAATGCTGCCTTCTCTACATGACTGTGTGCACTTTTAGTTAAAAATATCTCATAACTTTTACTTAATTTGTTTAGGATCCGTTCAAGATTCAGATACTCATCCAAAGTTTTCTAAAATGATGATCTTTAAGGTACAAATTCACTACCCTCTTTGTTCTTACGAAATTTTTCCTAAGTAAACATACATTTTTTTTTTTTTTTTTTTATCGGTACTGGGGATTGAACTCATGACCACGTGCTTGCAAGGCAGGCACTTATGCGGCTGAGCTAAACCCCAGCCCAAACATACGTTTTTTGCACACCAACACTTTCCAACTCATTCCAGATATATTAAAACTTTCCTCAAAAGTGACATGGAGATAAAATATGGATTTAATGTAAAGTTAACAATAGTTTTTATCTACTGGAATAAGTATCCCCCTTTCAAGTTTTTATTTTGAAAAGTTTTAAGTCTACAGAAAAGTAGAAATATGAGCACAACAAATACAGTTACACTAGCTTCTCAAATTACTGCATTTTGCCCGTTCACTTCAGTCTCCCTCACATGTCAGCATGCAGTGTGCACACATGGCAACCTCGAGAGGTCGTTCACACACGTCCTTCTCTCCTTCACATGTTTTAGCCTGTATCCTCCAAGAATCAGCAGTCTCCCTGCAACATCACTGTAGTAAAGACACTAAATGTATTTAATGCAATCTAATTCCATTTGCATCAAAATCTTCCTAATTTCCCCTAAAATACTTTTCAGAAACTTTTATTTAGTTTAGGGGTGACTCAAGGGTCAGTCTTTGCATTTTGTCTTTTGAACTATGAGGCAGTTCATAAATTTAGTTACACTCTTGCTAGGTTGGTCATTATTTAAAGAAAAGTTTTTAGTTACTTGCGTTTAGTGTTCTGAGTCTGAGATTCACTGAGTATGTTAGTCTCAGTTGTATTATACACTGTGTAACAAATTAAGATGGAGCGATTGAAATCCACTCAGCAAGGAAGGAACAGTGGAGTAGAAGACACAGGAATCATCAGATCCTGGGAGCACACGGTCACATCCTTTACTGTCTTTGAGGAAGGTGCATACAAATGAGCCTAGCACTTAACTGGGTTGAATTGTTAAATCTTTCTTATTTTTACCCTCAAAGATAAAATGTGCAGAATGGACAGACATATTACAACTACACAGTGGTTATTAAGCTTACAAAGTTAATCTCAGTCCTTAGGAATTTAACAACTCCTATGAAGGATACAACGGTGCATATTTTATGTGCACACAGATTGTGTACACCTAAGTATGGAAATATGGGTTCACCATTTTGTGTCATTTAAGCATTCCTGCTTGGAAAAGCCACACCCTTCTTAGGAAATGATGTATTTCTATACAACCTTGCGCACAGTAGGGTAGTGGTCATCACTGTGACGGGAGGAAGCGCAGCAGCACTGGCTGCAGAATGGCTCCCACCTCTGGACTTCACTGCACTGTTTGGTACATCCTGAAGTCACAGTGATATTTACTACCAGCCACGAGGACGGGCACAGAGAAGAGTCCATGGGGTGCTCATGGCTGACTCGGGCACCTGTGCTTTCCAGACAAACAGTATCATTCTCAGGGAGACATTTATTGTCCTGGACCAGCAAGATATGAGGGCTCGGTCATTGAGAGTGGGCAGACTCTCGAGCCAGGCAGTCTGAATGTGGAGTATCCGATTCCAGACATTCATACGCAGAAAAGCCTGGTTATGGCTTGGCTCGAATGATCATCTCATCAAGAGCCTTCTCCTGGGGCAGTTCGCATAGCACCCACGTAGCATCACAAAAGCCTGCTGGCAGGCAGAGGAATGTTCTAGTGCATTTAGGATTTGGGGTGTGGCTCAAATTGCCAATGCTTTCTCCATTACAGCCAATCCGTTGGTATAAACAACGAAATCATTTTCTTCTTGTATAGAAAAGATATTTACTTGAAGACTGAACTGATTATCTTGTCTTAGAAATTCTAACTATATATCTGAATCCAAAATAAATAACATGGGAGACTAAATTGCCACACAAATGCACAAATATTTAAGATACTTGAGAGAGAGAGAGAGAGAGAGAGAGAGAGAGAGAGAGAGAGAGAGAGCCCATGAAGTTTGGTTGTTTATTAGACACTAAGTTCCTTTAAAGCTACAATGTAGCCATGATATTTAACTTATGCTTTCAGTGTATGAAAGGATGTACTTTGCTATATCCTTTCTCCACGGAAGGGTGTAGTTTGCTTTCCATTCCTATGAATTGTTTCAATGATCTTTGTATTCTAAATAGTGCAACCGAATAAACCGGACGAAGGTAACATTATTAAAGCAAGTGCATGTGAGAAACAATTCTCTTCATCATTATCCTAATCTCTAGAGAAAGTAAGTATTGCATATGGGAATTTAGAAAACAGTACACGATGCAAACACACTCCACATTCTCCGTAAGCATCCAGTTAATTACATTTGGGAAGAATTTGGAGAATTTAAATAGTATACATATTTTTCTTGAAATTTCCAATATGCTGGCCAGACATATTGAAAATGAATAATCTCAGGCATTTCATATGTTAAAATAACATTTCTAATTACATATCTGAACCTGGAATATATAAGAACAGAAGCTAAATTGCAATATTTGACACAAATGCCTGAATATTTAAGATACTCCAGAGGGAAAAAGATCAGTATGTTCACACTGGTTACATTCGTGATAGAATTAAGTCACTGGCAGAGCTACCTAGATAGGTTTTTAAATGACTAATACTTTATTTTTTCTCTTTCTTTTTTCAATTTTTTTTGTCTTTTTGAGAGAGGGTCTCTCTATGCAGTTCAGACTGGCTTTGGACTCACTTTGTAGCCCAGGCTGGTCTTGAATTTGCAACAATCCTGCCTCAGCCTCCCAAGTGCTGGGATTACAGGCCTGAGCTGCCATGCCTGGCGATTAATACTTTCTTTTTTAACCCATGATGCACAGTTTAATTCCACGCAGGTTAATTTAATAGTAAAGAGCAGCAACATTACTTCTGTTCTTTGTATTTTTAAGAGGACATTATTAAATTCATAATTGCAGGGTTAGAATGACACATGTATCAAGTTTTAATACATATCTTAGGAACAGTAACTGAGGTTCTAAGAGGTGGGAGAATATAGGAATACTTCTCAGTAGAAATTCTAAAATGTAAAAAAACCCTAAAGCCCCTCAAATATGCAAGAACCATGTATCTATGCATAGAATTTTACTTTGGGGAATATTTGTTGGTAAATACAAGTGTTGGCCACACAGAGGTCTTTGCAGGAGAGCAGAGGCTGACACAGCTCCTTCAGACCCCAGGCCTGCACATCTGTCTGGCAAAGCCCACTACCCTAACAGGCCGTACCCATCGTGATCTGGTGAGCTGGAGGTTCTTTCTTTGTCATCTGCCTTCTTTCTTTAGACTATTTTATATGGAGATTTTCCTCGTTTGCTGGTTGTTGCTTGTGTTACATGCCTACAGTCTACAATGACATCTAGAAATTATTTACACATGATAACTATGTGCTGCACTAATAGATAAAAGGAGCAATTACTGCTGACTAGTGAAAGTGGGCAGGGGGGTTATTTGACAATAAGAATGTTTCTGTCACAGAGAGCAACACTTATACCACTGCCACAATGCTTTATCCAAGGGTGATTTGTGTTCGGCAGACTCTGTGTCCTAAAGATGTGCAGCCTGTCACCTGCCATTGCTCGTCAGCAATGACTGCAAATAGCTGTGACCTTGGTTGGCCCCCATTATGCATATTCGTCATCATATAATCCATCTTTCTACTGCTGGTTCCTCTGAACTTGGTGCAGATTGGCTCAGCAATTCCTGCTGAAGCCTTGGCCGGGATGTTAAAAGGCAGCCGGTGGGGGTCAGACGGCTTTTTCCTCTACAGCTAAGCAACAGCCAGATTCTCAGCACGCAAAGGGAAAAGGTGAGGTCGGTGAGGTTTGGGAAGCAAATCAGCTCCCTTCTCCTTAATGTCTCCTTCCCACTAACCCAACTATCTTCTGTTCCACGGAGGGCAGGTATTCAATTATAAAGTGCTTAAGCAGGGAAGGGATGTGACATTGAATGATGTGCTGAATTCAGCGAAGCACACAAAGAAGAGACGTGATCAGTAGGCAAAGTGCAAAACCAACCAACAAAAAGCCAAGCGCTCCTGGAAATGCCTGGTGGCGCTGGGAGGCCCAGTCTGCAGAGGAGGAGCTGGGGTGGAAAGGGATGAGGACCTGAACTGACAGATCAGGGCCTTGCTCTAAGTGTGCCCTGGGCAGCTGCTCCGTGTGCAGCGAAGTGGCCAGCCCCACATGCCCTACTCACCGCTTCCCGGTGGGGTAGAACCTGGAGCAGGCGTGGCCGTCCCAGGCACAGTAGGGGTCCCGGGCCAGGCAGCAGTCCGCGCAGGCCGAGCCGTAGACGCGGCAGCGGTGCAGGGACACCTGCGCGATGCCCTCGCTGGAGCTCACGTACAGCTGTTGCTGGAAGAGGGGCAGCGGATGTGTGTCAGAGGTGGACGCAGGCGAGGACCCGCGGCAGCTGACCCGGGGACGCATCCCAACCCAGACTAAAACTGAGCAGCCAAGCGCACAAGGGTAGGAAGCCAAAATACACAGATTTTCCTGTGGTGACACTCTTAGAAGGGCACCAGCCTCCTGCTAAAGAAAAAGGCTCAGAGCGCAGTGTACAGAGGGAGCGGGCTACAGAACTGGGACCTGTTGTTCCTCAGAGTAGGGTTCCTAGTGGCAGTAAATTTATAATGTTTTCTTCTTTCTTGGAAGAGTGTTTCTTCACATAGCACAAGGAAGCTTTCTTAGTTTTCAAGTCTGGCAACCCATTACTTTGTGGATTTGAAAAATGTCAGGTTTAAAATAAAGGGCACATTGTGTTTAGAAGAAAAAATAGTATTAGATTAAAAACATGTTGTCTACCTTGGAAAGCCGCATATTACTCATTAAAACAATTTAAACTTATTTGGAAGAATATAGGCATTTATATTTAAATACATCTCCATATTCCTGCATGGTCCAGAATCTTTATCTCCCGAGCCATCGTGAATAAACAGCTCACCCTCCCTCATTTGCAGGGTGTAGAAGCCTTTGTACACTACTGCTCCTGAGTTTCTAGCGGGACACAACGCTCTCCCCAAGCGCTGAGCACATGTCTCTAGTGGAGGCTCCTTATTTGCTAAAGGAGGGACATTCTCTACCTCATTAGCACCAGCGCTAGACTGAAGCTTGAACTGATGGAAGGGAGTGTGTGACCCTTCCCGCCCCATAAGGAGGTGCACATTTAAGAATTAAATGTAATTGGTGAAAGCCTAGAATCCAGCACTCAGGGAGGATTGTGAATTCCAGCCCAATTTGGGCAAACCAGAGATCTTGTTTCAAAAATAAGAAAAGAGAAAGGGCTTGGGATGTATCTCAGTACAAGGCCCTGGGTTCAGTTCCAGCGCCCAGTGTGTGTGTGTGTGTGTGTGTGTGTGTGTGTGTGTGTGTGTGTGGTGGGGGCGTCTTTGTGTACCAGATGCTGGCCTCACAGGTCCCAATCTCAGGCCGGCCACAAATTCTGTGTGGGACCTGCGGGCATCTCAGTTTCCTATTGGTAAAGGTGGGCCACAGGGTTATTTACCCCTCAGAGACTTTGGAAGAGACGGATGTGGCAGGTGTCACCGCCCCATACAATGCCGTGACTGGGTTTTGGCTCACTGGTCCTCAGTAAATATTAATTAATTGTAACAGCTGAGGCAAACATCAGTTAACAAACATTGTCAGCCGATACATTTTCACTTGAATCACATGCAAATCTATTATGCTTAGTGAATTACTGCTTTCAGATCAATCGATTATATTTTTCTGAATTTTGGCTGAAATTGATTCCTCATGTAGACAATCAAATAATAAGAAAATGGCCTTTTGGGATAGTAACCACTTGTACAAGAAAATTCAAAATAAGTGTATATTGAGCAAATCAAATAATACTACAATGAATGTACCAGCTTCGTCAAAAATTTTAAAGCACACAGGTTTGAGAAAGACTTTGATAGTATTTTCTAGATTATTTCCACTACCTTCTGCTATACGGGACACAAAAACAAACTGAGAATAAAGGCATAACATAGATAATGAAATAATGTGAGTATTAGGAGAGGTGCTAGCTTCATGGCATTTAAATATACGTATACTGCAGAATTTGTGATCCTCTCACATGAAAAAATTAACGCAGTACAAAGTTTTGCAAATGAATTCCTAAGTGAAATAATTACCCTGCCATACATCTAAAGCTTTCAATGAAACATTTTAGATGATCTACGATACATGATTTTGAAAACAGATGTCATGTGTTAACTACCAGAAGGCTGAAACCTGTAATTTCGTGTCAGGCTACGATGCCACACAGATGGATTTGTGTCCACTGTGAATTTTGCTTGGATACTTTCTCTTTCCATTAAGCCATGGTAAACACAGGGATTCCCTGCTGACTTCAAAGACAGCTCTGACTTGGGGTCAGCCACCGAGGACATCAGGCAATGACAAATGGCTTCTTGTGACTTGGGAAAACGCTTGGGAGGCACCATGCGAACCCTTTACAGATGAGGACCCCGGCACCACTGCACCTTATCTATTTCTCCTCATAAAATGCCATCGACTACAGGCCTGGCAATGGTCTCACAGACCAGTGATGGCGAGGACTGGAATTATGTAATCAGTTGTGCAAACACATAAAACCCTTATTCTCCATTCCAAGAAAAATAAATGTCAGGGTCTCACGGACAGGATTCGCGTAGAACTCCCTCTTTTTTAGGCAGTTTTTATAAATTAACCCATTTGTGGAAAAGGCGCTACCTTGTAGGTGTAGGGACTCCAATCGGAGAAGGTAAATGCTTTGTCCAGGATTTGTGATCAGGTGGGATTTACGATCACCCCGCTCTGATGTCTGCACCATTCCACCTATGCTACTCGCCCCCCAGAACTTCTGTCTTACAATGGGCCCTCGGGGCCGGGGAATCGATGGGCCTGTTCCTGCCCCAGCCTTTGTAGAGGTTCACACACAGGCACGGGGATTCATTAGAAGGTGCCTGATAAGTATGCTCAAACATTTCCTACTCAAATCCCGGGCCCTTAGATATAAGGTATTAATTCTCCCAATATTTGCAGGCCCCGGGAAATAGCATTTCCTCAAAACTAACAGCTACAGAAAGCGCACTGTGCTTTTCAAGCATGTGAGAGCGGCAGGGACTCAGAGGAGGACAGATCTCTCATCCCGAGCCCCTGAGAATGTTGTGCTGTGTAGCAGCCTGAACATTAGGCTAAGCTCCTCCTTCAGAAAGATTATTTTTATTTTAGTTGGCTTCCCACACTATAATATTTGAGGGTACAGGATACACAAAATGTTGGAATAGCTTTCTGTATATCTGTTCTGCTCTCATGAACTTTTATACAAAAATAAACCTATTCAGACTTTCACTGAAAGCTAGTAAACTCTGCATTGAAATTAAAAGTGATTTCCGTGACATTGTTTCAAAAGTAGTCATTATTCTGTCAACACTAAAACTAAATTTTCAGATGTTACAGAACGTGTCTCACGAAAGCAAAACATTTTATTATACAAATAACAGAAAAAAATGATCAGTTCTTACCTTCTTGGGTGAGATTTTCATGGTTGTTATGGGAGCGTGACTCTAAAAGATTAAAAAAAATCATGTTAGTTGCTCATGCACTCCCTAAAAATACCTTAAATTCAAATAAATGATCTTTTTGTTAAAATTCAGAAAACCACTTTTCTCTGTGTGCATGTTCATCTGAATAAAGCTCGTTCTCTCTTTGGGACCAGTTACATAGTGCATTAAAACAAAAAAGGAGCAATTATGATGTTTCATCTACACTTCACAGCCATAAAAAAAACTAGGGATAATTGGAAACTGCACATTGAAATGGTGGATTCCGGGCTGGATCTGGGCGCACAGATCAGGGGTTCGGTCCCCATCACGTTCTACCACAGCAGTCGCTAAGCGTTCACCTGCAGTGCATGGCTTTGGAAAGATGGATCAAGCTGAAGCATACTAAGTAATTCTCATTGCTTAAAACAAAGAAATATTATTAGAAAAGTTCTTTTGATAAAGGTGAATGAGTGAGAAAATTTAAGAATTTGCTGTAGTAATAATCCTTCTGGGAGTCACTGTACATTTGTTTTAATGAAAAGTTAGTTAACCTAATGAAAATCTATGAAGATTTATATGAGTAACTCAAATAGAATAGGATCTCGAAATCCAAAGTACTCTCAACCATTGTGCTTTCTGGAAATGCATGTGCGTGCCCATGAACACTGAAAAGAGAAACTGGTGGTATCTTCAACTCTCAGTTACAGAGATTCAATCCTGCTCATCCTTCATACACACGCACGCACACACACACACGCGCACACTTCAATTTACAACCATTCAGGCAACTACCACTATTTGTTCCTTCAATCTGATTTGAGCTTGAGGGAACTTTTTCAGAAGATACGAATGAAAGCATAAAAGACTGAGACCAGCCGCCCTGCAGGGTGCCAGCTTTTCGGAAGTTACACTGAGTTTCTGCAGTCTATCAGGGCGACACAGAGAGGACCTCTGCCGTCCGCAGTCATCCTTTCCTCAGGAGCCTTTGCAATACCTCACACACACTCCATTACTTCTGCCTCACCTCGGGAGCTGTGACACACACACCGTGATGAGGCAGTCACCGGGCTCATGAGCCTGTCTCTTGGCGCGGTCATATCAATCACAGGCACGCCAGGAAGAAAGCTCAGCAAAGGTCTGGGAGCCTCTCTTGGACTCGGGTCCCCCACATGCATTCTCTCAGGCTCTGTTTTTCCACGGAGAGTTTATGCACCATGATAACAGCAGCACAGCTACATAACAGACCACGAGTGGTTCTCACTCGATCAGAACACCTCATGCTGCTTTAGAATTTTCCATAGCATATGTGTTTGGGTTTGTGTCAGTCTCACTTAATTAACATTTCCTGATAATAAAAAGATATTTCAGTGTTAAAAATGAGGTGCTATAATATAGAATTTTTTCTTTTGCTATCTTCAAGAAAACCTCAGAATTGAGTACATCACCTTATTTTTGGCCAGTATGGTTGTCACTTCTAGGATGAATATGAAGAGTGAGTTGTGTGTGTGTGTATGTGTGTGTGTGTAAAATGTGTGTGTTAATTTAGTGAAACAATTACAAAGCAAAACTGCCCTATCCAGCAGTTGGGAAGAACTGCTTCCACAGAGGGAATTATTATTGGCACAGTTTTAATACCTTCATCACAAGGAACCTACATTAATGTAAGTCTAGCTTTAAAAATTGTAAGTTTAATAACATACAGGGAAACTTGCCAGATCTTCTCACTTGTTTGTATTTTGCTTGATTACTCTTGTATTTACTTTTAAAATTTATTAGCAAACTCTAACAGCATTACCTTTTAGGCACGTAACGTGGTTATTGACTCGGTATTGTTAGCAATCACTGAAATGTAGATTCATCAGTCGAAACATTGTGAATCCACTCAGCAACGCACAGCACAGCAACTCAATTCCTGCCCTGCTCCTGGGAGTCCTCAAGCACTCCTGCCACTGAGTCGGGGCTGTCTCTAGTCTTTGGCTGCCCTGAGTCTTTGTTTCTTAATTGGTTTAGGTGACAAAAGTGATCTGCAGCAGGACGGGTCCCTGCCAATGTTTCCGTGCAATGCTAGCACTCCTCAGTAGTGCCTTACCCATATCCCCAAAGGTACCACCTGAACCACAGCTATGGTCTTGCAAAGAAGAAAACGGCCAGCGAACACCACAAATCCATCCTTCCTGGCTCATGGGTTCCTAAAAACGAGGCTCTGCCCTGAGAACCTGAAAATGTATGGGACATTCCCTCTGTGTACCTTTTTTGTTTGTTCCTCTATTCTTTTTCTTTTAATTCAAGAGCCAGAAAAATAGTCTAATGACATCTGATGCTCTGGTAGAATATGAAGATTTAAGTGGTAAGAGATATTTGTTTTATTTTTCTAGTGACATTTGTAAGTAAAGGCAATAAAATGCAGCTACAGTAAGACAATTTGGTTGAAAAAATATGAGAAAGTTTATCTAACCATCCACTGTGAGAGCATTTGAATTTCAGTGGCTGGGGAACCAAATGACAAAAGTCCTTTCATAGCAAAGTCTTCCAGACTTTGACATCAAGAGCTCATTTTAAAAAAAAAAATAATGACAAGCAGAATTCTTCACATTGGGATGACAGCTGGGGGAAAAGTTATCCTTTTATGTTAAGATAACTTAAAGTGTAAGAAAATATTTCACCAAAATATTTGCTCTAGATTTCTCATTTTATCTGATGTTTTGCTACATGTAAAAAATTTATAACATTCATTTATTTGATCTTTTATCAAGCATTTTTTTCCTCCCAAGCGGCTATAAGATTAAAGAAACATTCATCACACGTGCTCTGAGATTAAGAGGAGAGAGGTTCAAACCTTAAACACTTCCAGCTCCTCCAGAATTAGCTCGCCACTGGCAGAGCTGTTGGTCGGAAGAACGACGACCTTCTGTACGGTGCCCCGATCTAGACCAAGAGAGACAAGGTTACTTTCTAACAGCAGTTTAAAGCAGAAGACAGGGCTTAGGAGTTAGAATATGTGTTATGTAAGAATTCAGTGGATTAAAAACTACTACCTATGTAACAGAAACGCCCCCCTCCAATACATGTTAGTTTCTTGGTTGCCCAGGTAATATTCCAGTTCTGGTGTTTTCTGTCTCTTACAAATGCTGGTCACTGTGATGCACATTGTATAAAACAATCCCCAATGGACAAGCCAATCTGTGCTTCCTGCTTGCTTGTCTCCTATAAGCCCTAGACCAGCGGTGCTCGGGGCCTGCTGTTGTGGGAATGATCCCCATCAGTGCCCACTGACATAAACAGGTCTGTCTCCAAGTCCTGGGGGTTGTTTCAGTGTTTCGACCTGTCACTGAATATGCACTGAGCACACATAGTGAGCAGTTTCCATCGTAACATCGATTTTCTTCCCAATCTCATATATTTAAATTCAGATTACATATAACTCATAATGAACACTATGCTATGAAAGGATTTTTGTGTTACATTGTGGGGTTCTTTCCTTTGAGTATGGCCATAAATAGAAGAGAAAGAATGTCCAATTGTCTTAAATCGAAAGTGCTGAAACAAAATTATATTTATCATGTATAACACCTAATTTTTTGTTTGTTGTTTCAGAATATTACTACGTCTCTATCCCACACTCTTAAAGTGACATTCCCACCACTGTGTTAACATTGCCTCATAGTGCTTTAATCATCTGAAGAAAGATTACTACCATACATGAATTTTTATAGTAATTGTAAAATAAATCATTAGTATTGCAAAACTGACACTTGAGTTGTGGATAGGAAACAATTAGACCTGGTGAAATGTTTCCAAATAAGATTCAGAGGAGAAATGTAACACAACTGTGGTTTTAGTTCAGGCGTGGATAGTGTGTACTGAACTTGTGTGGTTTTCACAGTGGTGTTTATCATTTGACAGTGTCTCATTGGACATTCTCAAAGTGCAGAGACGTTTTGGAGTTGGAGGGGTCAAACAAACTGGGGTGAGTATAAAATGTACTCATATTTTCCAGAGACTGCCCAAAGCAGAAATGCCCAAATAAGCATGATACACACAGAAAATGTTATTTGTCATGGTTTATAATTTAGATTCATACAGACACATAAACAGTCATAAACATGTGTATGCTGCTCTACCTAAGTTTTGAGTTTAAAACAAACTTGATGAGATTTAATCATATGATGTTACAGCGAGTTTGGGAATAATTTGGTGAACTAAAATTGTATATATTTATTAAAATATATCCTTATGAAAATGGTTAGGGAGCTGCATTATGTCATCATTATTCTTAAATTATAAATGTATTCATAGTGCATAAAAAATCATTATTATCAACAGATAATGTAGCACTTTTAAATTATCTTAAGAAATGTCAATGCTACAAGTTACCTTGAATTAAACTTTATCCAGCTTTATTACAAAGCTCTTTATCTCAGTTGGCTTTTAGTCACATGTAGAGCTCACATCAAGGATCACATTTTGTGTTTACAGTTTGCAATGGCTGGACTTCATTTAAAGACACAAAAAGTTCTTAGTTAATAAAAGACTCACCTTTAGAATATTGTAAACTAAAAAAAAAAAAAAAACTAAGACTAGTAAATAATATGTGTATGTTGGAAAAGCAAGACCCAGAGATTGTCAGAACAACCCCTAAAACTGTGGGGATGCCATCCCTGAGCACGTGAGCTTGGGAGGTACCAAGTTCATTGTGTAACTTAAAATTTTCTAATGAAATTGAATCCTGAAGGCTTACAGGCTCTAGGAGTAATTTTTTAAAATCCTGGAATGCCTATTGTATAGAACAGCTCCTTAGAATCAGTCCTGGCAATAATAAGGGCTGTGTTAGAAGCAGCAGCCCTCGGGATGTCCAGCGGAGCTCTAGCACACTGGACCTATGTGGTTGGAGGTGCCCAAATGTGCATTAACAGCTCATCACAGCATGCTGAGAAGATGCCGAGGGGAGCACAACAGGCTGCAAAACCAGTCGGGAAGTCTGAACTTGGAGCAAAGAAAGGGACATCTAGGTGGCACTGTGTGCCCGAGCCTCTGCTGAATACTTGTTACACGAGCCAGTGGTCACAGAGGACAGGAAAGGAGTCAGAGGATGACAGGGTAACACCTTTAAGTCAGGTTATCATTAAAGTCACACTCGCCTTTTACCCAAAGAAGTCATGACAGAGTTTTGTGGTCCCTGAGCCACAGCTATTCTCTGTCTACAACAGAACAACTGAATAAAGGTGGAGAACTGCCAGAAACCCATGAAAAACTGTGTAAAGCACACCCTGACTGCAGGGCAATGAGTGTGTCTGAGCCATCCCATAATGCTTACATCCATCAACACGTGCTGGACACCAAAAGCACACATAACTAAAAATAAAGAGTGAAGAATGAAGCACATTCACATGAGAACACTTGCTCCTAATTTTTAAGCCCCTGTTTTAACTTATTAGGAGTGCAGAAGTTTACACTGATTGTCATTATCTGAAGGGACCCACAATAAAAATACTTTCTTCATGCTCTCCACAAAATACTGCACAAAGAAAAGTTATAACAATGTACTACTTAAAAGATAATCCAAAGCCTGTTTCATTGCATTCACAATAAAAGATAGAGTACCATTATCATCTATTTCTTTTTTATTTTAGATATTTTTAAATCTCTTGTTGTCCCTTGGATGGTAAATACTTTTATGTTTGCATTAGGTGGCACCCTTCAGTAATAAATAAATAAATACGTCCACTTGGGTTCTCTTTCATTTACTGATTCAACAAGAATTTATCGGATGCCTTCAGTGAGTCAGACAGTACAAATGGGAAGATAAATATGCCCGAGACTCAAGAGTTCGGGATCTAGAATTTATGGGTTTTTGAGTAGTGTGTTCCCATTAAAATGCTACTCACTGCGAGACCGGCATTCCAGGATGGTCATAAAACTACTTCGATCCTTATGTCTGCATGAAGTTGCCTGTGTGCCTTTTGTTTGAACAGGATGATACAGTTATCAAATGTGTTTCTTCTGGGGGTGATGAGAATGGTATCCTTTGAATGGACTAGGAATGGTAATTTTTTTTTTTTTATTGTTCTGTTGAGCTGGGATGTTCCTCTCCTATCTTAGGAAAAGCATGTGGCTTTCTTTCTTTCTTTCCTTTATATTTATTTTTTTTCTGTGAGCCTCACTTAGTTTGTGTATAACATGTGGAACATAACTTTTGCAATAAATATGTTACTCCAGTCTTTCTGGAATCCTTTTCTCTTTCCTTGGAAAGAACAATCCGAGCCATCTCTCAGAAACAGTCTGGCCTTCTCAATCTCACAGCTAGTGAGCAGCTCCTTCTCTTCTGGTTCCAGGGAGATCTCAGGAGAACCCTGTCCAGTCTGTGAATCAACAAACCACGGAAGTCCAGTGTGCTGGACTTTGCCACGCAGCGGTCTCAGTATCAAGGTGCCGCAGCCCGTGTCCCTGGAGGAGATGGAGCTGTGACTCCACCTGAGCACTAATAGAGGAATGAAACCAAACAACTAAGAGCCAGGGAATGCGGGCGGATGACATCATGTCTGTGCAGACCTTGAAGGCGCCTCTTTCCATAGCTACATCAAAGGGGGCAAAGTTCTCCTTTTAACTAACTTCAGTGAAGGGAGTGATCACTCTTCTGACTAGTTAAAACCAATTTCTGACTAGTTAAACCAGTGATACCTGAAATTGCTTAGCATGGTGCCACCTGCATGGTTTCCCCCCAGGAAGCAGAAGTTAGTTTTCAGTTCTAGCTTTTCCTCTCATGCAACTTTTGGCATTCAGGAGTCATCTTCCATCTGTCCGTGAGGTGTAGAGAATGCAGCCCTCAGCACACTGCCCCACGCATGCACGGTGAGCCACCTCTCGGTGATGATCCACGTGATATAAACCTGTATGCAGAGGGGGACTCGCCCATCCACGGAAGCAATTTCAATTTTCTTTTGCTTCACTAAGTATTAAAAGAAGATTCTCTAGACAAAATCTTCTCTGCCTTGTTTATTTAAACTCTCTAGGTTTTATTTTCTTCAGAATACCAGGGAGTATAGAAATACTCTGGGAAACTTTCTCTGTCGCCAGCCAAGAGATCAGATTGCACTTAGAGCTGGGCATTGGCTGAACAAACAGCTCCTTCCCCGTCACTCCTAACCCTGTCTGCTGGCTCAAGGGTCAACTGCACCTGTACAGGGTTTCCTGGAACTGCTGAGACACGTGGTGGCTGCTACTGGACTAGGGCAAAGCTCCCTACTCAGAGCTATGAGGTCCCAGGCCCTGGCACTGATTTACAGATGCATTTCAGCAGGGTTGGCCAGGCAGGTGTGTGAGCCCTGGGCTCAGCAGGCCTCTACCCTAAGCTCCTTAAAATCCTTTTATTTATTTATTTTTTTTGTACCAGGAATTGAACTCAGGACTTTACACTTGCCAGGCAGGCATTTACGCCACTGAGCTGTATCTCTTGCCTTCCTTAAAATTCTTAATAATGCTTTTTTTTTTAAAAGGAAGAACACCGAATTTTCATATTTTATGCAGCCAGTGGTGATTCTGGTAGTTGGGGATTAGTAATAATTTTTATCATTGCCTGGCAGCCTAATTCACTTCAGGAGAGACGCTGTACACACACCACAGTCTACACTCATCCCTTCCTTCCATTTCTCCGTCCTCACCAGTGCCCCCACCATCAACCCAGGCTACCCTGTGCAAGATTTGAGAAATAAATGACCGTCAGATAACAGATCGAGTGTCTGTAATTAACATGAGTATGGTGAAAAAAGTGATCACTATCACTGGTCATTCAAGAGATGCAAATTAAAACAAAACTGAGACTCCATCTCACTCCAGAAAGAATGACTATCATCAGGAAACCAACCAATAACAAATGCTTTCAGAGCTGTTGGGAGAAAGGAACCCTTCTCCACTGTTGATGGGAGTGC